TTAATGGGACAATATTATTTGACACAAGAAATATACTAGATTGCAATAATGAACATGACATGTTCAGATCGATATGATGTCGAGAACCACGAACGAACAAAACTAACTATTAATGGAGTAACAACTACCAACGAGACAGAGGTACTGTTTGTCACAAACAAGCATCATTTTTTACACTTAAAACTATGCTGGCTTTCTAAACTTGAAAGAAAAGAAACCTCTTTTCCATCTTGTAATTACACACTTACCTCCTCTATGAACTCTGGTTGAATATATGTTTATTCATTATTTTATTCCTTATCAATTAGTGTTTCACGTTGCATATATTATATCACAAAAAATATTACAGTAACTCCAACCGTATCAAGCAAGATCGTGTAGTTTGCAAACTGGATTGGCAGCACAAGACATATATATTGGCGACAAATCTTAGGGGAAATCACTGTAAATGATCTCTTAAAGAAAAGTTTCAGACACCAAATAATCAATTAATGACCTGTTCAACTCAATGGAAGTATGTTATAAACATGGATGGGTGGCAATCTAGGACTCGATACGTGGGGAATTGTTTGTTTTTTGCACCAAATTAATCCTGATTTAAGTATTAAAGGAGGATCAATTTCTCTTCTGATTAGTCCATACCACCAATCAAGTCCCCAGAAAAAACCATGAAACTACTAAGGATTAATGATTGATGAATATTAAAATGAGAAGAAAAATTGTGAACTGTTTTAGGGCAGAATTTAATCTGGAATCTCAACGTGCCAAAATTCAAGAAAAACGGAATGTCGCTACTTGCTACTTGCGAAAGTACTTGAACGGCGCCGGATCTAAATCATAAGAGAATCTTCGCCTTCATGCTTTCATAAAAAATTCAGTAGCAGGTTCGCAGAATTTGAGGTCCCAACTTTTGCAGTTTCTTAAATAACTCAACAGGGCATGTTCGTCTTGACCTCGAAAGAAAATGACAAAGAAGGAGGAGGGGGGGAGGTGGCATGGAACTGATGAACCATGATTTTTCATGACAAAAGAACTACAACACAGATGTTCCATCACCTGTGATGTTGCACAGGGTAAGTCTACAAGAATACTACAACATAGTATTCTACTTGGTTTCAAAAAGTTCATCAATTTGGCTAATATTCAAGTATATACCTGGTCTCCATTTTCCCCTTGAATTAGGAAAAGTTTTTATTAATCATGTCTTGCTGTTAAGCGTTGCCCTCTTGTTTTACTATCATACATCTACTGATTGATCAGTGTCCATCCCGACAAGACTAAAACTGACATAACAATTAAAAGAAAAAAAAAAAAGAAAAACAAAGATGGAACGAAAGGTTCCCCACATGTCTAGGTTAGAGTACGGAACTTAACCGCAGTTCACGCTGAGAACACATGCCATTAGAATTTTAAAACATTAGATTAATCGCCTAAAACCAGGATTAAGTTTGGTTTTATATAGGACGATGAGTTGTAATTATAAGGACATGGGTAGGAGCCACCAGGTTTTGTTACTTTGTAACAATGACATAGCCTAGCTAAGACAGAAATTAAAGTTGAGGGCTTAGACTTGACCAATAGTCCCACCTTCATTGACAAGAAATCAGTCTTTTCTGCTGTATATCTACTCACTTCTTTACTTGCTTTGACCAAATTAGAACTAAAACTCTGAATTAGATGAAATATACAAGATCTTCTTCAAGGAAAAGGGCCCTCCAATTAATCTTCTGTTAATGGTTTCAACCAGCTAAAGGGGTAGGACTCGGGAGAGGGAGAATAAATCCAACTAAATAGAGTGCTTTTTTTTTTTTTTTCCTTTTTTCCCTGGCAAACATTGTAGACTGGCATCAAAAGTGCTACAGGGTGCTGATTACAACATTGTTCCTATTGCTAATGCAGACATTTTATAATCTCGAACTCGTTTACGTGTATCTTTCCTTGGAAAATCTCAAGATTTGATTAATAAATTGGTATTACTGCCAGTCAAGTTGCATTCTCTAATTGACTTCATCAGACATCGAGTGTCTTAAACAAGACAAGAATGTTATTGATACATACAAAATAATGCCAGATGGGATGCTCCCTTTCCCCTATATTAATTAAATCAGAGGACAAAATACCGTAGTTCTAAAAAATATTCCTCCAACATTTTCCTTTTTATCTTGTTAAAAAAGTCAAGTAAAGAATGAATGATAACTATAAAGTATTCCGCCGGAGACTTACATAGGCTGCACAAAACGATGCTGCCAAAATGTCTTATCCAATGGTACGTTAATACGTAAAAATGCTGCAGGAATGCAAATCCACTTAAACTATCCTCTTAGTTTGTGAAATTCAAGTAACGCGTGCGTACTCATCCCATCAATTTTTCTTTGCCTGTGTGGGAATTTGTCTTCGTAACTAAAATTATTGAAACAAGTAAGATTCCAACATTTCGTTGAAACTAGAAAATGGAGATGCATGGTAAGAAATGAAACAAGAAAGAATGTCCTATTGAGAAGATGTAGTATAACTTTGGCAATGTTGGTTAAACTTAATGCTAATGACTGCAGTACTAGCAGTGCTAGTTTAACAGAGCGACACGACAGTAGTCTTGGGAAGGCAAGCGTGAGAGAGGAGGAGAGAAAGAGAGGGCCGTAGTTAGTAGTCTTGATCGTAGATGATAGCAGAATGGGCGGCAGAGTTCGTAAGGTCACATGGATTCCTCTGGCAGCAGATGTCCAAACCTTAGTCTCATCCGTCATCTCTCTCACACACACTTCGACACCTACACTCCTTTTTTCCAGATCTTGCAACAGAATCTCTGAGCCAGCGTCAACTTTTCGTCAGCGTCTCTCTTCTTCCGTGCCAGTGTCCGACCATATTATTACCAAATGAAACTAGGGCTTTTCACAGTCCTCGGGGGACGTCCGTCTCCCCCGAATAATGCAATGCACCACCTACTTGCTGCCACCACTCAAGTGACTAAATCACCCCTACTTTATCAGTTTTTTTCCCCCGCAAAAATTCACTTGTATTATAAACATATTTATTAATTACCGTTTTATTTCCTCAATCACAATATTGTCTCACATATATAATATTACAAAACAGTGTTATAGTATTATTATAAAATGTTGTGATGAACTATATTTTGTCTTCCAAAACTATAGACATATATACTTTACTACTTACAGTTAATAGTTAATAGGGTTAAGACAAAGGTACCTTTTGCATACTCTTGGTTAATTTTTGAGCGCACACATTTATAGAACAATTGTAACCTAATAAATGAATATTTTTTCAGCAATTGCTAAATCATTTTCAACACCACTACACGATGTACTTGACCTTTTAGTAGTAAAAAAATAAAATAAAATTCTACAAGAAAAATGTTTAAGCAACTCGAAGGGCTTATCTCAATGTCGATAATGGTGCTTATTTTAAATTATATAAAATTAGTGAGTACATTCGGAGAGAAGATTATTTGTAAGAATTTTTTTATTGTATCACTATTTTAATGTGATTTATGTGAAATAAAAAGGTTATAAAGAAACTATAAGTGCTTTAGAAAATGTGTTTAGAGAATCTCAATTTGTTTACCAAATAAATTAGATTCCAAATAGTAAAGCAAGTTACGAATGTGTCATACAAGTACTAATTAGCATCTTATTGACTCATGATTAGAATCTTGTGAGAGCTGCAAGGTAAGTGAAAATTATTAAAACTAATTCGTTTATAATTTAAAGCAAAAAGAAAAGTGACAAAAAACCGGTTAGAAGCTTTGGGAAATTTCTTTTAATTTTTTATATCACGTGATTCGGTGCTTTTCTTTTCAATAAGGCGTTTCATATTTTGATCTAAAGTGTGGCATTATCCAACAGGCATTCTGTACGAGTGTTCAAGTCATTTCATCAAATTTTTGAATGGAAAGGTTATCATTAATGCTTGACTAGTCAACATAGGGGGGCAAAGTTTATAAGTTTGAAGTTAGAGGGGCAAATTGTAATTAATCCAAAAAAAAATTTCAAGTAATTTTCCATCCAATCACAGTCGTGTATTTAATAAGGCAGGTTCCAGCTTTTGGATGCCGTTCAGCGCCAAGGTACTCGGTTTATCTCAAAGAGGTGATTCCAATGATTAATTTGCTCATAATAGGAATCGACCTTAAATCCTCTTATTTTCTAATAGGAATACTGTCGAGATGCATGATTATCAGTTGGAGGACAAAGCCCTCAAGGTAAGTGTCCATAGACTAACCCAAACAAATTAGAATTGTTAATAACTCTTGTTTATGCATGGATTACATGACGCTTTTCCTGATTTATGCTATTATCTTGTTACTTGTATAGAAGACAAATAAGTCAATTCATAATGCTAAGAATTCATAATGCTAACATATTATTGAAATTCATTCTTGATTTACAAGAAACGATAACAAACAAAAACTTGGGAAAAAAAATTATTACCATTTTTACGTCTACAATACCTATGCATAAAACACGATATCAGTCCGAATTGTACATATTAAACTAAGGAATATTGTGAATTCGAATCGGTCCCGTCTTATAAGGACACATGAGTAAGGGCTGTTCAAAAGAAAATTAAAGTATAGTGCCCAAATCATGTATATATTAAGAGAATAATATGCAAAAAAGACTTGCACCAATTGTTTACTCAAAGGTTACGTATTGAACAAGGTCCCACAGCTTGGTTTACCTTGTTTGTGAATCTATAAAGGGTCATGAGCATTATTACTGTGCTATCTATGCATTGGCGAGAAAGGAGAAACTGTATGAAGCTATGTGGTATGGTAGTACTAAGAGAATTCTCCATATTGGGCTTTACAAATAAAAATTCTGATGATGAGTTATGACTAGTCCAACTTACGACGTCACGTGTAAATCACTGTAACTTTACTTGTTTGATTAAGGGTCTCTCTCCTTTCCTCTCCTCTCAGTGAGTCAGTGTCTCTCTCTCTCTCTGTCTATAAGAGCTTATGCAAAAGCAATTCATTTTCCTCACAAAGGGAATGGGAATGAATAAAAGCCTAATTTGTTTGGTCTTTTGGCTTTCTCCTTCTTGGTCTTATGCATGAACCTTCCTATATAAGATGTCAATTTTCGTCAAGCTAGTAAGCATATTACTATAGCTTTAATCTTCTTCTCCTCCTATTTTTCTCCTTGGGCCCTTTTATTCTACTTTTGCTGCTTGATGCTCATACTCCTACCCTCTCCACAAACATGCTCGTCTATTTGTGGCAAGAGAGAGAGAGAAAAGAATAGAGTAGTTGAGAGGAAAGCCACAAGGGAACTAAAATAGCAGCAACCAAGGAAATTAAAGAAAATGGCCCTTGATGCTGCAATTCATATGCAAGATTCATTTGGCTACTTCTTCAAGGAATTTTACACGTCGGGAGGAGGAGGAGGAGGTGGAGGAGCAAATGGTGGATGGGGCTATGGCTATGGCTTTGGCTTGCAAGAAGAAAAGGGTTTTGTAGAGATGTTGGATAGTGGCATGGACCATAATTTACACGGGAATTGGGAGTCTTCATCTTCATCAGTTGTGATGCAAAATGTGAAGGAATATTGGGATCCGAATTCCTCACCGGAGGCTTGCACAGCTGACCAACTCCTTTTAGAAGGCGGCTCCCCTACGATGGAAGAGCCACCAGAGTCTGCACCTACCCCGGCTGCAGGCAAGAGAAAAAGAAGGCGCACTAGAACTTGCAAGAACAAAGAAGAATTGGAGAATCAGAGGATGACACACATTGCTGTTGAGCGGAATCGACGGAAACAAATGAATGATTATCTTGCAGTTATTCGATCCATGATGCCACCTTCCTATGTTCAAAGGGTAACAATAATTCATTCTTCAAAATCTAATCAGCACAATAATATGATACTTAAAATAATTTCTTTTTGAAGAATCTTAAATTATGGACGAATGTTGCTATTCCTTACCCTGTTATTGTCTTTAAAAGAAACATGTGCAGCCCATCAGGTAAATAATTGGACTCTTTTTGTTTCCGTGAAAAGCGTCACATAACCCCAAAAAAAAAAAAAAAATTTCATGTTCAATGTTTATTATCGTTTTCATGAAAGAGACATGATCAAAAGCAATTAAACGGTTTGTCTTATCATTTCGGAATGCATAAAAACTAGTGCTATATGGCTTGTCAATCTGTTTTCAAATAAAACAGCTGATTCAATAGTCACAAAGCTATAGTATGTGGACTACAGTAAGTAGTGCAGCATAACTTTCTTTAATTTTTCTTTTTCCTCTTAAATTCCTATTTCAGGGAGACCAAGCCTCAATAATTGGAGGAGCAATTAATTTCGTAAAGGAGCTTGAACAGCATCTTCAAACCCTAGAGGCACAGAGGAGGAGAAATAGCCAACAAGAACAAGAAAATGGAATGTCACCACCACTTTTTGCTGATTTCTTTACCTTCCCACAATATTCAACGCGGTCATCTTCAACTACTCTTCACTCTAACACCATCAATTCACCAGTGACCACCACCACAAGTGATCATCAGCCACAGCCTAGTAGGGCAGCAACTGATCAGAGCCCGTCAGCGCTAGCAGACATCGAGGTCACAATGGCCGAAAGCCATGCCAACCTCAAGATTCTTTCAAAGAGACGTCCAAGACAGCTCTTGAAGCTAGTCGCTGGGCTTCAGTTGCTTTGGCTCACTATTCTCCACCTTAATGTCACAACAACACTTGACCAAAAGGTTCTCTACTCTATCAGTGTTAAGGTTGGTTCATTTTCTTACTCATGATTTATTTATATATACTTGACAAAGATACATTCAAACCCACTGGCTATTTTCACGTCTTTATTTTTTTTTTTTTGGCTTCTTATCTACGATAACTTTCCATTTAAACATTTTTTTTGAGGAAAAAATGTACTAATCAATTTGTGGCTAATTATTATAATCTCTTGAAATAAACAGCTTGAGGAAGGGTGCCAGCTAACAACAATAGATGAAATAGCTGATGCTGTGAATCACTTACTGGGCAGAATTGAAGAAGGAGCTGTTTGAAGCTGAAACCCTGAAATTTTTTAATGTGTTGGGTTGAATTTTTGTCCAAGAGATATTCTGGCCTCTAGTTTCTTGCTTCATTCCCCCACCTTAATCACTTACTTCTCTTTTTAATATCTATATATATATATATATATAATTTTCTAATTCTCCTGGTTGTGGTGGTGGTGGGGGGACGTCTTTGTAATATTGATGTGTCTCTTAGCTAGTTGGTTATAATGGGACGAAATATTCTGTCATGTGCATGCAGTACTCTCTGTTAGCCCTCCAGGCGTCCGATCATTCATCCCGTGGTGCCTGTTCTGTTCCATGCGGCTTTCTGGGAAGAAAAAATTGTAGTTTAAGATTGAAATGAATAAAATTTTAGATGTGGATTGAAGTCCCAATTTTTTTTTTGTCTTTTCTTTTCCTTTTTCTTTTGACCTACAAGAATGGTGTCCCATGACTGGAACAGTGGAAGTTGAACATTCTCGTACATGAATCTGGAGGAGTTCAAAATTCTTGTCGTTGAAATTTTAAAAAAGAAAATCATTTGCAACAAAGCGCCTGAATTCTTCCAAATTCTAGTAAAGCCACAAGACTTCTTTCAAATACAAATTTCCAGTTTTTACCGTTCTTAATTATCTTTCTCAAATAGGTGAACACTGAATGTCATGTCATGCACTGTTGATGTTCTCTTTTTATTCCTTTCTTTCTTGATTTTGAAACAAAAATTAAGCATAAAATATAGTAAATTCTCCTGGGGTGGTTTGTCTATGGCACGCACAAAAACCATTTCTTGATTTTGAAAAAAAAAAAATTAACGGTAGAAACCGAATGCTTGTCTCCCTTTGTTTATTTTTTTCCCTTTTACTATTCTTGAGGTTCATTATTAGCAACACAGTTTCTATTTGGTAACAAATTATTAGACAATATAAATGGGCTGAGACATGTATATGAACCGTGAAGCAGTTAAGAGAAGCCGAACGCATCTGTTTGGCTATTAGATGACAATGTACAAGTACTCTCCCAACTTTCTTGAAAAGAAATTGGCTTAATAGAAATATTCAGGGCCACAAACTAGTCCTCTTTCTGCTATTGCTCCCATCAAACAAGACAAGCATCGCGAATTCAAAAACTAATGAATTAAGAAACTGAACGTATTTCAGAGTAAAACTAAAGTAGTACTACTTTCCTTAAAAAAAAAAAAAAGAGGAAAGAAGAAGACAAAGATATATAAGGGAAAAAATTCAGTTGAACAAGTGAAACCATTCCAAGGTAGATCAAAGCAGAAATCTTATAAAGTTAATTAAACATCTAATACTTGTTCTTGATTGATTATCTTAACTGATTATATATTCTGATTTTAGATAATCAATTTTTGTGATGTTCTCGATTGCTTTTTATACTCTAGTTATAGATTTTTTTTTGTAATGGCCAAAAAAGGTAAAATCTATAACCATCGAAATAGAAAAGTTTTTCGCTGATTCTAATTATTCTCCATAATCAATTTTTATAATTAGATATTATAAAATCTAAACAACCGAGAACAAAACCATAATTGTGAGACTCAACATGACATTTTATTGAGATATCAAATGTTCTGCGTACCTAATTGTATTTCATTGAATAATATATCCTCCGATTGGAAATTGTTATTCTATGAAGTGGTTAATGGAGATCGAGCGACAAGTTGGGTGCTCTATTTTTTTTTTTGTCGAGATCATTCTCTAAGCTGATATTGTGACTATTTTAAAGTTTAAACCTAACAAAAAAAAAAAAAAAAAAAACCTACCTAAGGACCCATTAGTTTGGAGATATAATTGTCATGAAATTAGTTCTCTATGAAGGGTGTTTTAGAAAGTTTTGTTAGTATCCGTAGGCATGATTCTGTCTTTGATTCATGAGGTGTTAGATTCGCCATCTCTTTGTCTCCTTTGCAATGGGTTAAAGCCCCACGTTGACGAGCGTGCATCCGTTCACATTGTACACAGAATAAACAATGATGCTATGCAGATGCTGACGGCCTGATCAGCAGCTAGGAGATGTGGGGAAAATTCTAGCTACCTTCAGCCGTCTCCCTCCCAGCAATTAACACTGACTAGAACTGTCATTATTATTGCTCATCATATCATGTTGACGTTTTACATTCTTTTTCCTCTTTGGCCAAATGATTTGAGTTTCCTTTGGAAAATTGAAAAGGGAAAGAAACGTAAAGCATTTGATTTGGGTTCAGACTGGCCGTGATGCATGGTTTTTCTTTATTTGGATGATGACTGCTATTAGAATTCTTCTTGCTGACATTTTTTCTTTCTGAAGATGTAAAGGGATGCACTCATTCTGGCAGACTGGAAAAGGCGATAAAGAATCTAAACTCCACTGCTTAAAGCATATTCAAATGACTCCCAAGTGTTGCAAATTTAGCACTCTCATGATAGATTAGATCTGTTTTGAGTCAATTTCTCCAAATCTTAGGACGACCGGCTAGTACTTGATCAGTACATTTATCAAGACTTAAATACCTCAATCCGAACAGAAGATATTATGGCTATTTTCTTTTTTATTTCCTTAAAAAAAATTAAAAACAATAGTGATCTCCCTAGCTACTATCTCCTTGATGACCTCTCGGCAAACATCTTATCAACTAGACTGAATTTCGCTGTTATAGTAATTTTTAATATGAAAGTCTAGAATTTTAATGGGATGTGTTCCTAAGTTTCAAAATACTTACCTTCTTCTCAAATAGCTAAGCAAATTTTGGTACAAAATCAAATATTCTTTGGGACACGTTGACATTGATGGTTCAATCTCTCATTCCTTTTCTTTCTGTTTTACCACATTAGAGAATCAGAGGTAAAATCAGGTACTAATGATAACTCAGGAGCGATGAATGTTGGGAACAGAGAACGCACACGGGAGAACACTATCATCATATTTGTTTGCCACACAAACAATCATAAGGGGATTGACCCTCTGAACAGGTTGATGTCAAACCAAACGAGAAGCAACATCACCGGTCTCATGAGTTCTTTCTCGTGCTTCTCCACGGCATCGATCACAAGAATCTACTCGGCTACCAGCCATGAAAGTTCATTCTTCCTAAACATAGCTCAGTTTTATTTCTCAACAGGCGATTATATATAGTTCCCAATTTTTTTTTTAAGAAAAATAAGAAGTAATATAGTAGAAGAATTTTTTCGAACAAAACCAAACCCATCTTAAATTTATAAATATAATTAGATTAATCTTTACAGCACGGTCAATCCACACGATGCATGTAATATGTGCAAAAGTTATAATTTAAAATTTGGAGGAAGATTATGCATCATCATATATTCAAACCTGCAGCATCATATATTATGCTGCAGGAAAGATTAATCCAAGGTTGTATAAGATGATGCTCTCGTACATCTTGGTAGTTGCATTGACCTTATAGAATCAAACGCTAATAATTTCTTTTAAGAAAAAGTTCATTTTGATGCTACCAACAAGTGAGTCTTTCTCCGGCAAAAGCAAACAACTTTTCAACTATTCGTATGTTCTTGTCACGTATAAATGCTTCATATGCGAACAGAGTATGGAAGTAAAGTCCACAAATCTTCCAAGTAAGTTACTCATGCATTCATTGTATCATATTATATTACTGCAAATAAAGCAATCCTGCTTTAGGAGATAGAGCTCATGTGATTAATGAAGATGACCAGTGATAGGACTTAAAGTTGTACGTAAAAGGCTTAAAAAGGTATCATGCTTTCTGATAAATCTCTGAACTCTTCCCCATAGAGTGGCAGCCCCGCTAGTATTTTATTTTTATCCCCTTCTCTCTTCATTCCATCTTTTAAACTTTTTGATCATCGATAACGCTTTCTCTTGGTTTTCTTCACTTTGATTTGGACAATGTTGGCAATCGGCTCTGTCTGTCTCCAAATATCAAATCTTCGCCAAATGGTCTTTTAAAGCTATGGGGCTTTTTAAATGATTTATAGAGATGGGGGCAAGTCTAATGACATGAATCGAATAAACTAGGGTATTAATGTTCATGTGTTGGAATCCGTCAGAAATAAGGTGAAGATGTCTCATTTAACTTTAAAAAATATGTCTTTGCATTTAAGAACTAGTATTTTAAATTTAGATTGAAATTAATTGTCGTCCTTCGGGAAAAAAGAACAAAAAACTAAATAATCGACCGACTCAATTTAGATTGAATATCGGTACAACAGATTTCCAAAAAATTGAATTTTTAATTTCCAAATTCTCAATTACCGACCGAATTACCGAATTTCACATTTTAGTAAAACACATGTTTCATATATTGCATACCTACCAATATATCATATTACATATTGATCTATATGTGAGTAATGTTATAAGTTAGATTTCGTGCTTTTACACAAAGCTTAAATGTGTATTAGTTAAGTAATTAATAACTTCTACAATGCTAATTACACATTAAATATTCTAACTAATCTCTATTAGAAAATTGTATTTTAAAATTTTGGATATCACCTATTCTTCTGAAATTCAATTATTAATATCCACATTACCAAGTAAAAAAATTTGAATAGTGATTGGATGTTAGTCTTGTAGAGAAAAACTAAACTTTTTATGTTCAAATTATTGATTATAGGCTGAAGAACACCCTTACCCATTAATGGATACATTGTCAGTTTAGAAAAGATAAATCCCGTATTTCGCTTGTGCAAAATAACGTTGTCAGCTCCAACCTTTAAAATGGTACTAGTATTCTGCACTAAAGATAAAGAATGCATATGGCAAGCCTTTATTTAATTTGGACCTTTAGACGTTTCACTCATTTTTGGACCCAAGGTGTCAGCCAGCCCAAGCCGAAGATTTTCTACCACCCACTCTATCCTGTGCTTCCACAATGCTGACCCTCTGAATTCTCTCACTTTCATAGGCCCAAACTTCAAGCAATCATTAAATGCCTCTCTACGCTTGAGCCCAATCTTCAATGGAAAAATATTTGGTCCATCATTGATACAGCGAGGCACTCTAAAATACTCCAAAAATAATTCAAATATACAAAATCACAGAAATAAAAAAAAATAATAAATATAGCAATTCCTAGTCCTACCACTTACTTTCTCCTTCCACCTACCACACACCACCACTCACTGTCATTGCCCCTCCTATCCTCCTTACTCCTTTGCGTACCACCGTCCCTTTTCCCTTCCTTCTCCTCCTCCTCCTTTTTTTCTCCTCCTCTCTCTTCCTTTTTCTCCTTTCCCCTTCTTTCTTCTCTTCCCTCCTCCCTTTACCTCTCTTCCTCTTCCTTGGCAACTCCCCTTACAACTGGAGGAGAAAGGAAAAAAAGGGAGGGGCAATGGCGACTATGGAGGAGAGAGGAAGAAGGAGAGAAGAGGCAGCGGTAGTGGTGGT